TGTGTGTGTGAACACCTGTTTTCAGAGGATGATGGTTCTGGTCCAGGCTCCGCGGATAACGGGAGCAATGGAACCTGAAACATCAAGAATCATTTTGTTGGGTATCTGTGTGCCCTCCATTCCTGTTGACGGTTTTGCACCGTGAACTTTATCTTTTATGTATCCCCACAAAAAGAAAAAAGTCACTTGCACTTTAGGATAAGTTTTCTTTGTTCAAGGCTTAGACTGGCTTTGCCCAATATTTCAAATCAGTTAAACCTGAAATGGAGTGAAAATTAAGTGAGTTATCAGTTGTTAAAGTGTGTCTACATTTTGGGGGGGGACACCCTATGTGTCTCTCTCTCTCTCTCTCTCTCTCTCTCTCTCTCTCTCATCAGTAAAAACATATCCTCAGGTAAGGATTAAAGAAATAATAATAAAATAAAATGCACCATACCTTCACCCTAAATTACAAAATAATAATAAAATTGGTGTAAAAAATCAGTATTCTCTAGCAAATGTAATCTTTTGGAACACATTTCCTTTATTTTCCCTGTTCTCTAAGACTGTTCTAATGTTCTCTGTACAAATTGCTCTATTATTATTACTCACAAGTCCTCAGCAGATGGTAATTATAAGAGTCAGTCATTTCTTTCTGAAACTGTTTTCCAGTCTCCAGGTAATTTTCCTCCTCTGTATTAGTGCATAAAAACAGTGCGGCTCATCCTTTTACTCTTGACGACAACACAACTAGAGAATAAAATTCCTAATGCATGATTACATAAACCTCTTTAAATATCTTTTTAAATCTCACTTTCAGTGCAATCGGAAGATGCCATGTGATTGCATTACGTGCATGTCTATGCCAAATTTTGCACATACCATCTGTGAAATTTCGAAAGTTCTGCTGTTGAGCATTTCCAAGATGAAAGATGTCTTTGAAGATATATGTGTTAGAAGTAAACATTGTCACTTAATGCATTACACTGTCCAGTATAAGACACGGTACAGGGAAGCAATGGATCAAATTGTTCTTCCCTAAGTGGTATAAATATTTTGTGCGAACCACTCGTAGAAACAAATTGATATAAAAGACAGAGTACAAGAGACTTTTTAACACAAGTCAGAGAAACAGACATCAGAAAGGAAGAAAAATGTGATTCCCAGTTTGAAAACAAATAGAAAGATTAACGCATGGGTGGGAAAACGGCGTGTCTGGGAAACTGGCAGTTTCAAGCGGAGGCATGTCTGGAGGAAATCATGTCGCTCGGATGTTGATTCCTTGTATGTATATATGCATGTGTGTTTGAAGTCTCTCTGATGTGCGGTAATAGTGGGAATACAGGAATGATACGACTAGGCCCGGGCCTTCAGGAGGTTTCTAGTTGGGAAGCGGAGCAAAGACTGCAACTGCTCTGTCCCAGGTATGGCTGGTAAAGACCAGCGCCCAATAATTCCCTTAAAGGCAGTGGTCGGCAGACTGCGGCTCGCGAGTCACATGCGGCTCTTTGGCCCCTTGAGTGTGCCCACGAAGTTTCAATTGTACTGTACGTGCGCGCCCGCACGTGGTATTTTGTGGAAGAGCCACGCTCAAGGGGCCACAGTTTGCCGACCACTGCCATAAAGGGAGCGCTGGGAACTCAAGAGTGAGGAAATCCTCCCAAAGGGAACCGCCCAGGGCAGGCATTATGAGGAAGGAGACGAAGATATTATTGATCGTTTTAACAGCAACGACAATAATGAGACTCACGTGTATACACTGGTCTTCCTCCACGCTGTTGTGGGTCTGACTTGTACCACTTCACCCCTTTGGGCTGCCTGTGATGCTGGGTGCTAGCCTGTCCCCGAGCCACAGATCAGAAAACTGAGATGAAGGAAGCCTTCCCTGCCCACCCGGTGGTGGTGAGTGGAGACGCTACTATTACAGCCTCCCAGGCGCCACCACGGGACCAGCCTAACTGTCACCTCATCACACGAGAACCTCTTAGGAATAGAAGGCATCATGCTGTCTCGTCAACGTAGTTATTTTTTAACCACAAACCAGAAATCATGGTGGTCAATAACGTCTTTATTTAAAAACCTGCTCTGTTTCATTAAATAAATATTATATTGTCCGCAAGTAACTAGGCCTTAAACTAAAGAGTTGTTTGTTTTGTTTTGTGGTGTGTGTTTTTGTTAATCCTCACCCGAGGATATTTTTCCATTGATTTTTAGAGAGAGTGGAAGAGAGAGGGAAAGAGAGAAACATCCATGTGAGAGAAACACATCGATTGGTTGCCTCCTGCACGAGCCCTGACCAGGGTCCGGGCCAGGAAGGAGCCTGCGACTGAGGTACGTGCCCTTGACCAGAATAGAACTCGGGACCCTTTGGTCCGCAGGCCGATGCTCTATCCACTGAGCCAAACCGGCTGGGGCTAAACTAAACAGTTTCTCTGTGGCAAACATGTCTGCATTTTCAGGCGCTGAGAGGCCCAGCACCGGACAGCATCTTCAGGGTATTTTCTCTTTGGCTCGGAGCCGTCTCTCCCTGAGCTTGTGACCCTGATGGCCACGCCCCTGTCTGGTTTGCCACATGATAATTGGCACCACGGAGCACTGAGCGTAGGTAGGTTGGTTGAATGAATAATTGAATCCATAGCACACAGTCGAAAATAACTCATGTCTAGTTTAGGTTTACCAGATAAGCTGCAGAACATCCAGTGACATTAACATTTCTGATAAACAATAAATAATGTTTACTGTACATACAGTAAAAGTCATTCTCTGCTCATCTTAAAGCCTGATCTCGCCCAATGACCCGGATTTGCATTGGCTCAATCTGGTGACTCTGGTCTAGTTCTTGTTATAAATTAAGATTTACTCATTTACTCAGTCACTTGTCAACAAGTGTTTGTGGCTTCATTAAGTTATTAATGATGCACTGCATGCGGGCCATGTGCCGGGAGGAACTGTGCCCTGGGGACTCGGCAGTAAACACTGGCCGACGCTCGCTCCATGGAGCATGTGTTTCCAGGGTCCTGCAGAAACTCGCATTCCCCGGGGTGACATCTGGACCAGAATGGGAACCACTGGAGGGGGTGAGATAGGAAGTGATAGGGGTTGAGATAGGGAGAGCAGTGAAAAATAAGTATGTGAAGTGTTACATGGACAAGGTCATTTCAGTCCATGGTCAGGGCCCGGAAGAAAAGCGAGCAAGATGGACAGGGTGGAGAGGGAAGGGTGGGCCAAGGCTGCCTTAGAAAGTTACTGCTACTTGGCAAGAGGAAGCCAGCCAGACAAAGAGCCAGGAAAGAGCACCAAGGAGAGAAGGAACAGCCAATACCAAGGGCCCGGGGTAGAAGGGGATCGAGTATCACAGGAAAAGGGTAAAGGCCGCGGGACTCCATCACATGAAAAGCTCCGCACGGCAAAGGAGCCATCACATCAGCAAGCATGAAAGGCTACCTGCCCACTGGGAGGCCATAGTCCCAAAGCTGATAAGGGGTTCATATCCAAAAGATAAATGAGCTCATATAACTCAATACCTTCCAAAAGATCCGATTAGAAAATGGCTGGAGGATCTAAGTAGGCATTTTTTTCCCCAAAGAAGACACACAAATACCCAACACAGACATAGGAAGGTGCTCTACATCACTAATCAGCAGGGAAATGTAATCAAAACCACAGTGAGACACCACCTCACACCGGAAGAGTTACTGTGACCGAAAAGGGAGGAGAGAGGTGTTGGTGAGGGTATGGAGGACAGGCAACCCTTGTGTGCGATTGGTGGGACTGTAAATTGGTGCGGCCACTGTGGAAAGCATATGGAGCGTTCTCAAAAAATTAAAAATAGAATTACCATATGATCCCACTTCTAGGTATATATCCAATGGCAACTAAAATGCCAACCGGAAAAGATACATACCCCACCATCTTCAATGCAGCATCATTTACAATAGCCAACACATGGAAACAACCCCAGTGTCCACTGATAAAATAGGAAAGAAAATGTGGTACATACATACAATATATTATTAACCCATGAAAAAGAAGGAAATCTTGCCATTTGCAACAATATAGACTTAGAGGGCATTATGCTCAGGCAGACTGAGAAAGACAAATACTGTGTGTGGAATCAGTATTACTTTTATGTGGAATCTCAAACAACAACAAACCAAACTCACAGATACAGAGAACAGATGGGTGGTTGCCAGTGGAGAGGGGTGGGGTGGGCAAAATGCGAGAAGGGGGTCCTGAGTTACAAATGTCCAGCTCTAAGATAAATAAGTCCCGAGGATATAATGAACAGCATGAAGACTATAACTAATCAGACTGTATTATACATTTAAGAGACTAGATCTGGAAAGTTCTCATTACAAGGACAAAATGCTTTGTAACTTTGTGTCGTGATGGATGTGGGCTGAGTGTTGTGGTGATCCTTTTGCAATATATACAAATACCAAATCATTATGTTGTACACCTGAAACTAATATAATGTTGCACGCCAAGTAGATCTCAAATATTAAAAAAAAATAGCAAAGACCAGTTGGGCTGTCATGGGCTGGGGCTGGGGAATGGTATAAGCATGTACCAGAAGATGTGAGAAGCAAGCCAGAGCTGGTCCTGTAGAAACTCGCATCCCCCGGGGTGACATCTGGACCAGAATGGGAACCACTGGAGGGGTTGACATAGAAGCGATTTGTCCTCAGATATTTGTCCTCAGCCCTTGGGGTGATGGGTAGGAAATGGCTGGGCCGGGTGGGGTGGGTAGGAGTGAAAGTGGAAGCCAGTTAGGAGGTGACCGGGGAGCACAGGTGAGTGACTGCATGGGCTCCTAGCAACCGGCTGACCCCGGTGGATGACCCGGAGGCGGGCTCTGAAGGCAGAGGCAATAGTGCTCATGAATGACGTGAACTCTGAAGCTGGCAAGAGTGGTGACAGGGGGCAGGGGGGGGGGTCACACTCATTTCCTACTTCAAGGCGTGGGGTTCTGTGTGTGACCTGCAGGCGAGCATAAAGCGACCCATGTCCTTCCTCCTCAGCTGCCGATCCTGGCCTCGTCGGTGGTCAGCCTGTACTTCCTGGAGCTCACGGATGTCTTCAAGCCCGTGCACTCGGGGTTCAGCTGCTATGACCGCAGCCTCAGCATGCCCTACATCGAGCCCACCCAGGAGGCCATCCCGCTGCTCATGCTGCTGAGCCTGGCCTTCGCGGGGCCTGCCATCACGGTGAGCACTGCCCCCAAACTGGGCCGTCGGCCCCAGAAAACTAAGGCGGCCCACACGTTGCAGCCAATGGGTTCAAAGCAAGTGAAAGGTGAAGTCTAGCTCCAGGCCCGGAAAGACCGTGTCTCTGAGAGGCCTTGACGACATCACGTGGGAATACATCACAGTTTAAAATCACTGGCATGAATAACTAAAGGAGATGTGATTGCATGAAGGTTCGCTAACGGTTTCTAAATCATTTGGGGGGGAAAAAGGTTTGTAACTGCATAACTCTTGAGTGGCTAGTACAATGTTTCTGGTCCATACACTCATTAATGCATTATCCTCGTGCGTATGGGGTATCTGAAGTGTGGAAGCTGCAGGGAAAACAGGTGACTATGTAGCCAACAGATTAGACTCTCTTCTCAAAGCTGCATGTTGATATCTCTCAGCATTTCCTTTCATACTTGATTGGCACTTTTCACTGATTCCGAGCACTGTGGGTCACCAACTATAGAGAGGGCGTAACTCACGTCACACACACACACACACACACACACACACACACAGAAAACACTTCAGATGCAGAACAGGCACTTGCATTTAAAAATATGTAACATAAAGAAATGCCCTCCCCTGCTGGAACTGAATTAAAAACATAGTTCTTTTTAGGTTGCTAATAGACACATTGTGAATAACACTCTTTTTTGTTAATCCTCACCCCAGTATATGTTTATTGATTTGAGAGAGAGAGGAAGGGGGGGCGAGAGAGAGAGAGAGAAAGAGAGAGAGGGGCGTTGATGTGAGAAAGAAACATCAATCTCCTGTACGCACCCTGACCAGGGATCGAACCTGCAACCTTTTGGGACGATGCTCCAACCAACTGAGCCACCCAGCCAAGGCAATAGCATGCTTTTTGAGAAACTCATTCATAAATAAGACTGACCAACCCTTCCCCTCATCTCCTGTGACCCCAGAATCCTACCTAAAGGACAGCAAACATGTTTCAAGGTGAATCATATTTATTTCTGACAGGAGGGACTCTGCCTTTGCGCTCCTCGGGCTCACGAACATCGGGGGAGGGACTGCTGAATAAAACGCTGCCTGGGAACGGGGTTTGTACCCCTTTCCTAACGAGCTGGCTGGTGCTGGTTCGGCGATCAGCAGTTTTGGGCGAGTCTCGGCATTGACCTTCTAAAGTCTATGCTTGCATTGGCTGTGAGTTTGTTTTCTAAAAATTCCCCCTGCATTAATAATCATAACATGCTATTTGCACTGCACATAAATCACACCAAATGCTCTCTCCAGATAAAATTAGAACCTAATTTTCCAAAGAACTTCATCACGCTTAGAAGACCTCAAAACACTTTGAAAATCAATGAGTTGCTTGAGCGCAGTGACTCCGGCGTGCTGGGAACTATTAATGATGCATTTGCAGGTAGCTGAGACCCGGACGAAGAGAACACATTTAAAGTGCGATGTTGCTCAGAACAACATTGTTTTCCTGTCACTTCTTTAAGGACTTGTGAAAAATCCATACCGCCCACTCCTTTTATAAGAGCAAAATGAATATGTGCTTTAACGCTATTACACTAGAAAGCATTTCTCCTCGTTGGGGGGGCAATGGACAAATTTATAGATTGGCTTGTTTGAAATAAAATACTGTACACATGGCCACGAGTCTGCTCAAAAGGCTGTGTTGATATTAACCAGCTGAGTAATTTGCTTTTCTATATCCCTGTCTTTCTCCCCAGGTATATTTTATTGAGCAGCTAGAAAAGCAAGTCTAGTTGTATCGCAACCTCCCACCCAGCACCATTACTCTCATATCTATCCCTTTGCTGACACATGTGCTGGGGACGGGGACCTTGGCCTCATCTCTGTGTTTCTGCTTCTCTGACTCCCTCATTTCCCATAAGAAATTCTTAACATGCAATGGAAGGAGGCTTCCTGGGGGATTCTGGGTCAAAGTTTTCTTTCTTGAGCCCTGAGAAACAGACATGGAAACAGGCGGGTGCTTCTGGAAATACATCAGCAAGCACCTCCCCTCCCCAAGGAGAATTCCATCTTTAACCAAATTCGGTCTTTTTGAAAATCCATGCAATGGCATAGAGACCAAGGTTGAATGGAAGTGTGAGGAAAACACTGGTGTTCTCCTTGGAGAGAGGGACAGTGGGTGATGTCAAAATTCAGACAAAAGCCCTAGCCGGTTTGGCTCAGTGGATAGAGCGTCAGCCTGTGGACTGAAGGGTCCCGGGATTGATTCCAGTCAAGGGCACATGCCTTGGTTGCAGGATCAGTCCTGGTTAGGGTGTTTGCTGGAGGCAACCATTCGATGTGTCTCTCTCACATCCATGTTATTCTCTGTCTCTCCCCCTCCCTTCCACTCTCTCTAAAAAAATAAAATAAAATAATGTTTTAAAGCTTAAAAACAACAACACACCACTCTCTCTATAATCAAGCCAGATAGCTGGAGAGCACAGTGTTGACATATGTGTTTCAGCATATTAAGCAGCTCTAGTAGAAAACTCCGGAAACTTCAAGGTCGTTTGAGATCATGGCTGTTGTGTTGTATGGTAAGACACCATTTCCAAATGGCATTATACCAACAAATTCTTATGTAACCTCGCATTCACTAATAAGAAGTGCATCATCATTACAGATGTAATTAAAAAGAAGGAAACAAAATTATCCACAGAATTGTTATTGAAGAAGTGAAAACAAACTCAATCTCTTTTAGCCCTATGACAATGCATTTCAGGAATGAGTGGGTAATTTTCTTGCGATGATCAATTTGAGACAACCATTATGCGATTCCATGCGCGTGGTGCGCCAGGCAGAATGCAGAACCTTTTGTGTTGCCATGCCTACCTTAAAGAGATAATGTAGGATGATATTTTTCAAGACGTATAATTAACTCAATGTTCAATGATTTGGAAAAAAATCCTTTTGATTATTTCTCTATGATTGATCTTAAAAGCCTAGCATGTATGCCACATGATTTTCACACACGCGTGGTTATTGGTAGAGTTTCATTAAGAAAATTGATTTTTATACAAATGCAGATTCCATAGTACCTATAGAATTAAACAGAGCAGAAGGCCATGGGGTCCCTATCATGAGTTTTTAAAAGCCTATCATTTTAAATACTTCATAAAATATTATGCTCAGAACTGGAACTGGGACATTTCCCTGGAAAAATCTATTTCAGCCCTAATCATGTTGTAATCCTTAAAGTGACACAACCGCTTATACTGAAGGGACTGCTGGGATCTCATGTAACCCTGCTTTTCTCAGTTCTGCATGTTTACACAAGTCAATTCTAATTTCGCAATAATCTCGTAGGCATGGTAACCCCAAATATTTTAGATTTCTTTTGCATAAATAAAACTCATGATTTCAGATCTTGCTTCCCTTATACAGAGTGACCCACAGCCCAGACGCCCAGGGTAATTAGCCGACGAGAATCCCACAGTGAGGGGACAGGTGCAGGCCCCACAGTGCCAGGGACTGAGCCGGACAGTGAGGGTAAAAGGTAGAGAGAAACGGGTCTCTCACAGAGGGTCGGGGTTAGGGAGAGATCATCAAGGGCATGACTGACGTGCACTTTAACCGGCTATGCCAGAGGGCAGGGCGGGTGCTGAGGAGCCACATACAAGGGGACATCCTTCAATTGGGGTCTAACTATAGTCACTCCCCTCACTGACATCCAGTGTCGTAGAATCCTACGGCAAGTGCAGGCCCCTACCAGACAGCCTTTCTGCTGGGCAGTGTGCTCGTCTGTCCATTGGCAACACGTTTCTAACTGGCTTATACCCAGGACACTGCCCAGTAGGAATGGAGAACATCTCAGAAATGACTTCAGCCACATCAGCCACAATTCCACTTCAACTGTCCTGGAGGCTTCCCCTGACATGAGCTTCCCTAGAGTCTCCCGGAGCCTGCATCCTCCGATAAGACAGCCCTGGCCACCTGCGGCTATTTCCCTTTAAATCCAGATGGCCTTACATTTTAAATAATTAAATACAATGAAATGAAAGAAAAACTGGGCTCCTCAACTGCGGCAGCTGAATTTCAAGTGCTCAGTGGGCACGGGTGGGTAGCGGCTCCCGCAGCGGGCAGGGCGGAGGGCACGTCCATGTCGCAGAAACTCCCACCGGACACTGCGTTGGCAGCACCCACCTCCCCTCACGCATGCTCTCTGTGGGTAGACCCTTCTGCGCAATCCCCGCTGCTTCACTGCCACAATCTGCTGGTAGGTGCTCCTGACCACACCCCTGGTACTATTCCATGCTCCTCGGCATCTTGTTTCCTGGGTTTAGGAATGAAGTGCCAAGATTTCAAGAATGAGGGCAGAATCCGTCCCCGGGGGGTTCATGGGTTAGGAGCCACTGGGTGCTGGTGAGCCAAGGGCCAGATCTGGTGCTGCCACATGGAAACTGCAGATGCCATCAGGCCCTTGACCAGCGGCAGGAGCTCAGAAGGTCCAACCGATGCCCTTTCTGGGGGCCGGGCTGCGAGGGAGAAACCGGTCACACCGCTGCTAGGACAACGCTTCTCTGCCTTGTTGCGCTGACCGTGTGTTAAGCGGTGACTCATCACTCATCTGAGCCCATGAGCCCACGCGGGACCCTCTTGTCTTTGCAGATCATGGTGGGGGAAGGCATTCTCTACTGCTGCCTGTCCAAGCGGCGGAACGGCGTGGGCCTGGAGCCCAACATCAACGCCGGGGGCTGCAACTTCAACTCCTTCCTCAGAAGGGCCGTCCGATTCGTCGGTGAGTGTGGGAGCCGCAAAGAAAGGAAACGGTTGTTTCAAACAGAAATGTTCTGTTTAATCACAGAGATTAGGTCTCTAAGGCTGTAATTTAACGTGCGCATTTCAGCATGTTTTTGTCTGAGCTCTGGCGGAAGCATGCATTTACTTTGAAATGGTTCCATTGGATCTGTGTTCATTTTTTAAAATATACTTTTATTGATTTCAGAGAGGAAGGGAGAGGGAGAGAGAGAGAGAACCATCAATGACGAGAGAGAATCATTGCTCAGCTGCCTCCTGCACGCCCCCTACTGGGGATCAAGCCTGGAACCCGGGCATGTGCCCTGACCAGGAATCAAACCGTGACCTCCTGGTTCATAGATGGATGCTCACCCACTGAGCCACGCTGGCTGGGCTGTGTTCCTTTTTAAAGTGAGAGCACGTGTCAGCAGGCCAGTGGGAATGAATGGCTCCTCGGCAATGACTTTGGTCCCATCAGTGATTCCATGGGGATTGTCCTGCAGTGTCTTTGTCCAGAAACTACTGCACGTAAGATGTCACCCTGCAGCCCCGCACCGTGGCTGTTCCTCCTTGGTTACCCTCTCGAAGTCTCCCTCCTCTGTTCTATGAGACCCGCAGAAAACCCACAGGCCTGGCGAGCCAGCCTCTGAATCAATCCAGCATCTAAACCTCCGTCTCTTCTGGTTGGCATGGAAACGTCTCAATGTTCTTTGAGTCACAGGTCTTTTTTTATTTGTAAGTGGGTTGAGAAGTGAAGCCACAGCTCCTCACGCCAACAGGAATGCTGTACATTCATTCCCAATAAGTCAGTGGAAAGGTCGTGTACCTGCAACCTGTCATCTTAGAGGAACGGGGCCCATCAGCACCTCGTAGGTCATTAAACACAGCTGTCTCTGCACCGAGGGGGAGTCTGGTCTGGATCATGGTCGGGACCCTGCCCACTAAGCAAGGCCCAGGGAGACGGGGAGACAAGGCCAGGCCCCGTGGCAGCGTCAGGAACTGAGGCAAGGCAGTGAGACGCCGGGCGCAGAGCTGACCTGAGAAACACTCCCTATTGCAGCACATGCCCGGGGAAGAGGCACGTGACCCCTGGGAAGCCTTCTGACTGTGAGGATGGCCCAGCTCACCCTAGAGAGCCGTGTCCCCGTCAGCAAGCCCAGCCCCGTGGGTCTGGAGATTCTCACTCTCCAAAGGGAAAAGGGGGTGGTTCCCCCCTCCCATACTCCCTCCAAGACCCGCCTGCTGCCAGGAGCTGGACTGTGGGAGCCAAGGTCCTGTGTCCAGAATCCCAGGTGAGCGAGTGGAGGGGGACGGCTAGAGGGGTTGTTCGATGACAAAAAGCAGAGACGGGAAGTGTCAGACAGGGCGGCGTGCAGGCGGCTCCTGGTCTGGGGGAGGCACTGAGGAACCACCGCGTGCCTCTCCCATCGGGGGTGGGAGTCCAGGCTGGCAGGTGAGAGTGAGTGGAGGGTCCAGGCGTGTAGAGGAGGCAGCGAGCTCAGATCAGGCCCTGTGAGCAGAGCCAGACCCCCGAGGGGAAGGCCAGGAAGGCCCTGAGCAGGAGGGGTGGTCAGTGTGCGCGTGGGCAGTGGGGTTGGGAGTCTGTGTCTGAGACCGGCTCTAGGCGACGAAGAGACAGAGACTCTGGACCAGGAGATACAAGCACATAGTCTCTGAATTCTAAGCAGGAAGACTCCCAGGCCCTGTGCCCAGGACATAACCCCGTATCCACGCAGGGCCCACCTGCCCCTCTCTGCCTGGGTCAGCGTCCCAGTGCACCTGCAGCCCTCAGGGAGTCAGGGCCGGTTCTGGAGGGTTTGGCGGCTGTGGCTAGAGTTAGGGGCTGCGGGGGATCAGAGGGGAAGGGGGAGACGGAGCGCTGGCAGCTCAGCATGGTAAGCAACTTCAAATTGTTTTTAATTCTCCTTCATTCCCGATATTTAACCCAACCCGTCACCTTAACATGTTCCAGGGGTTCTATGGTGACAGGAGTTCTATGGTGAATACAATTGGGAATTGACCTTATTTAACCAAACTGACATCAATACCTCAAATGACTACTTTGAAGATACTCATTGCTATTCTATTGACCTTCAGCATCTGTTTAGAAGTTAGGGGTGTTCTGTATTATCTCCTCGAAATAGAGAAAACCATCACCACAGATGTGAAGGTCGATGGTGACCAGCAGCCGCCGGGCGCTGACCTGGTGACAGCCCCGCCCTCTCTCGCAGGTGTCCACGTGTTCGGCCTGTGCTCCACGGCCCTCATCACTGACATCATCCAGCTGTCCACGGGGTACCAGGCGCCCTACTTCCTGACGGTGTGCAAGCCCAACTACACCTCCCTGAACGTCTCCTGCAAAGAAAACTCCTACATCGTGGAAGACATCTGCTCGGGCTCGGACCTCACCGTCATCAACAGCGGCAGGTAGGAGCGGCAGCCCGGCCCGGGCCAGCTCGGGGTTCGCAGGCTCCGTAGCAGCTGGGGGCCCCCGAGGCCGGCGGTTTGTGGCCGCCATGATGTTGACGTTCTTTTGCTTTTCCATTCAGTGAGCTCTGTAGTAGTGACACCTAGAAACCCAGCGGCGGCTCCTTCCCCGTCTTCCTCTCTGTGTCCGCATGTCAGGCTCACACGCTGCCACTATCTTCCCATCACCAAACCTTACTCGGGTTCTGTGATCCGCCCTCTGCTCATGACGCTTTAGGTGATCACGATTGGTTTATTATAGGCTATTGATAGTTTTCCGTGCTTACAGTCTGTATGTATCCGTCCTGACGTAAGTGGAAGACTAAATGTCCATGGTATTTGCTCATCCACTGTGTGTTTTATGAAACAACCATGGGCATTGGCCTTTCAGTAGAGTTTTAAAAGGGGTAACATCTGGGATTGCATGGATAAACCCAGAAGATCTGTGGGTTTAAAAAGCTTCTGACCTTGCACTTCAAAAAAAAACAGGAGACAGAAAAACTCAAGAACCTACCAATGCATTAACAATTTTTCAATCAATAAAGTAAACAAGAAACTTGCATGGCAAAAGGTATTTTCGAAGTTCAAGAGAAATAAGTCTCAGAAGGGTGAGGGGCAGTAAGTGACTGTGATATGAGTTGTATTTGTCATTCAAGGACTTCCCAAAGATCGATTTCAGGGTCAAAACCAGTTGAAAAGCACATTGGCAGGAAGTCGGAGGCTGATGTGTGGAGTGAGACTCATTCGGGTCCTCGGGTCCATTCAACAATTCTGAGCCCACATTTGTGACCTGTGGCCTCTGTCCTTTCTCAGTCCTCTTACGTTATCTTGTCTGTATTGAATGGTAACCCTTTCCATTGGGAACCAAGCAACTAGGAGGACACGATTATAACTGAATTTTTTTTTCCATGAAAAGAAATCTCTGTTCTTCTTTTGTTTCTTTTCCAATGTCTCTCCCCTTATCCTGTGAGCCTCCAGCTCCCTGCTTCAATTATTTAACTAAACAAGAAGCTCTGTGGCTCCTGAGATAACACTCATTTCAAAGGGGAACACACAGAGGAGCGTTTTGTGAAGATGAGATTTTTCTTAAGCTTTATGGACTGTAAAAACACACACACTTAGACCCATGGCTATGAGAACATAATTTTGTCTTAAAATTTTATGTACATGAAACCATATATTTAGGAGCATAGAAAAAATGAAAAGCTTTAAAATCCTAGGTTTTACGAACTTTCACTTTAAACTGACATGATCCTAACACCAAACAATGACAATGTCTTCCAATCCGCTTCTCCTTCCCACCGTCACTGCAGTCGTGTGGGGAAGTGACCGGGCAGGGCCAGCACCCGCTATGGAAGGTGCCCCACGTGGCCTTAATGCCAGTGGTGGTGAGCGGTGCCTCTCCTACTGCTCAGATGTTTCCTCAGAAAACAAAACAAATGACAGGCACTGCTGTCGCCTGGTGGCGTTTGAGCTGAACGTGTGAGCCACGCGGTGTTCTTGGGCTGGTCGTGGGCGTGTGTCTGAAACAGGAGGCGTAATCTGACTGTCTTCCTTCGGCAGAAAATCATTCCCTTCCCAGCACGCGACCCTCGCCGCCTTTGCTGCTGTGTACGTGTCGGTGAGTAACGGGTCCTTCTCGTCGGTCTGTGTCCCAGAGGAAGTCAGGAATGAGCCTTTCTCCTCCCACGTCCATCAGGCCGCCGTGTAACAACAGGACAGTCCGCTCCAGCGCAGGGGTCCCTCTGCACACGGCGCCCAGAGCAGAAACGGTGCTGCCAGGGACAGGGCTAGAGGAAAGGATGGTTCTGCGCAGCCGTGTTAGGCCTGGAGCCTGGCATCCCTGTAGTGGAATAGGGGGCTTCATGAGGGGACACACACGCACACACACACAATTCTAAAACTGAAAGCATCACACACACGCACACACACACACACACACACACGCACACACACACACACACACACACGCACACACAAGCTTGAGCAGCTTTGCTCCTGTAACTGTGAGTTCTAAGTCAGTGTCGATAGGATAAAGGCTGTACCACGAACTGTCATCGTAGCCGATTAATACAATAGTTCATTAGCTCCTACGGGAGACAGATGAACAGGGATTATGACAAATACCTGGAGGCTAAACACGCGTGTGGCTAACTGTACCACGTCCATCTTTTTCAGACTTCCGTGTAATTCAATGAGGTTAATTTCTTGATGAGTTCTGTCTGGCGTGTCCTTCCTCTCCAGGAGAGAGCGTAGAGGGAGCAGGGGGAGCGGGACAGTAGCATTGGTGTCGAGCGCATTGGTTAGACTTTGGAGTCCAGCTTTTTATTTGATGATGATGTCATAGTAAAATGACCTCCTCCCCGACTTAACCTCTTTCTCTCATGTGTAAGATGTACTTCAACTCCACGTTAACGGACTCCTCGAAGCTCCTGAAACCCCTCTTGGTCTTCACGTTCATCATCTGCGGCATCATCTGCGGGCTGACGCGCATAACGCAGTACAAGAACCACCCCGTGGACGTCTACTGCGGCTTCCTAATCGGAGGAGGAATCGCTCTGTACTTGGTAAATGGTTGCTATCGTTATGGGACAAGCCACGGTTTAACATGGAATCCCGCATAGACTAGGCGGCACTGTAAGGATTTACTTAAAGTATAGTTTCTATTCATGACAAACAACCCGGCTGCATCTCCATTCTGACCCAAAGCACAGAGCCCGCTAATAAGCTATTAAAGTCTCACCATGGGCCAGACACTGAGATCTTCGAAGGAATATTGTATTTTATCCTGACACACACACGCACACACACACACACACACACACACACACACACACAGGAGCCAGGGATGAGTATACTTTTACAGATGGGGAGAGTGAATATTAGTGAAAGCGAAAGGTTAGTGGGAGACCATATAACTTGCCCAGCAACACAAATGTGGCACCTGGATCCAACTGCTCCAACTAACATGGAATCATTTAACAGAAATCTGTTTTCAAGCCTGATCTTTCCTCAAGGGAAGTGTCCTCAGAATAAGGAAACTGAGATTGTCCATTTCATTCATTCATTCATTCATTCCACATTTATGCAATATTCTATCTGTGCCAGGCACTATACTGAGCACCCAAAGAGTGACAAATAAGATACATCCCTCAAGGCGTTTACAGCGTGAAGACTAATAAGATACTGTGGGCAGAGGTGACGTGCAGTCTAGTGGAGGATGTTCCTACATTTAAATGCAGTTATTAATGGAACATGAAGTAGGGACCGCTTCCCCCGGGCACTCTGGCAGCGAGAGTGCAGACAGATACTCTTCAGGTTTGAACAGGAACCGAAGTAGTTGGAGAGACAGACCCTCCCCCATTCCTATTGCTCTCTGTGCCCTGAAATTGGAGACTTCTCGGGGCTAGGCCAACGCCACTGTAAATTGTTACGTGGCTCCATAGCTTGTTAAGTCCGTGGGATTCTTTCCTTTGGCTGGAAAAGGACACAGTGGCTACCACCTATGAAATTAGCACGCACGTGGGAGTCTGCCCTTGCTCTCATCTCTAAATGAAGCGCCTCAAAACCAAAAACCCCGCAGGGATTGGATCCTCTGTGTGTACAGGGGTAAACATCTGACTCAGAATTTCAGCCTTTTCCAATGTTTTATCCCCCAAATCAAAAACAAGAAATGGAGAGCCCGCGAGTGCAGACAAAAGATTTAACAAAATTTGGCTCCGATTTCGTGTAATAGCACTAAATCCACCAACTCTGATCTCCCCACTGAAGACCAAGTTTAAGTCCGGAAAGGTCGTGGGCGCCCCAATCAGGGACAGTTTCTGCCCGGTCTTCCCAGAACCTTCCATGCCACGCTGCCCACACGGGCTGTGCTCCCGGCAACTGTGACAACACACAGGCCTGACCTCGTTGCAAAACCTGGTGTCATGCATGAGGTGTTGTTCTCGATTCTCCAAACTTCTTCTGCTTTCCGTCAGACGGAGTGATAGGAAATGGGAGGTAACATGAACCATTTAAGCCCACGGAGGTGCCACTCAACAAGAGACCCTGAAACCCAGAAAAAAATGGACCACTGGGGAAAGCAGAGGAATGTTCATCCATCTGTCGTTGTCCGACTTTTCTTTTCAAAACATACAGAGGATTAAATTTACAAAAACATCCTGGGAGGTGGAGAAGGGAGAGAAAACCCAATTGATAAAAAAGATAATGGGGATGGGGGTAGGGGGCCTGGGTGGAAAAGGTGAAGGGATGAGCAACAATAAGTAAATAAATAAAAATAAAAACCTCACAGGCAGACAGCAGCATGGTGACTGCCGGGGGCAAGGGGGTGGGGGGAGGTGGGAGAGGGGAAAGGGAGATACATGGAGATGGAAGGAGACCTGACTTGGGGTGGTGAACTCACAATACAATATACAGGTGATGTGTTATAGGATCGTACACCTGAAATCTGTATAACTTTATTAACCAATGTCACCCCAATCAATTCAGTTTTGAAAAATGGGCTCCAGCCCTAGCCGGTTTGGCTCGGTGGATAGAACATCGGCCCAGTAACTGAAGGGTCCTGGGCTCGATTCCGCCCAAGGGCACGCACCTCGGTTGCAGGCTGGATCCCAGCCCTGGCTCGGGCATGTTGGGAGGCAACCAATCCATGTATCTCTCTCACATCCATGTTTCTCTGTGTCTCTCCCTTCCCCTCTCTCTAAAAATCAATGGAAAAATATCCTCAGGTGAGGACTAACCCCCCAAAAAAATTTTAAAAATCAAGGGATCCATATTTCTGAACAGTCTGTGGCTTGTGCTATAACATGCACACTATTCCCCCAGTAACTGGTTTCCTTGTTTCGCGATGTATGTTAGTCGGGGGTGGATAGAGCGCGCACCTTGCTGATGTGGTCAGAGGTCCCCTGGGAGGAGCTCCCAGTGACCTCGTGTTCGTGTGGCA